TCGTCTCTATATAAATGAAGATGTATACACTATAACTTTATGTCACAAATTTAGGTGGACAAGATTACAATCTGAATCAAGAAGGTCATGATTACAGATGTGTTAAAACATAGTCTTTATTTTTATTAAAGTTTATTTATTTATTTATTTATTTGCCAATTGCCTTTTCGATCATATTAAAGTTTATTTATTTTTTTTGTCAATCGCCTTTTCGATCATTTGGTCAAATAGAAATCACAAACCATTTCCGTTACAAAAAAAAAGTATGGATGAATTACAAATAGAAATCACCACATTAAACCATGATCATTTCAAACATATTTTGGGTTTAAGACGAAAAAGAAAAAAAAGATTCTTAAAATACATAAATTTCATCAATTGTTTTATATTAATTTAATAATTAAAAAAATATTTATTCTAGTTTTTAAATATAACATTTTCGATTATAAAAACGCATATTTAAAGAAAAATATTTCTTCTAGCTTTTTGAGATGCAAAATCACTAATAATATCTTTAAAACCAATAATGTTTAACATTATATTAATAAAGTCTATAAAAAATTTGGACCCTTTTAAAATATTGGTCATGGACGGTAGACGGTCGTCCCTAGTGTACACCATCTAAGACGGGTCTGCATGCATGTTCTTGTTTCATCAAAAACTTAATACCAAATATTTCGAAAGTAAATATTCAATTGCATGGTTTGTTTACTTTTTAATTATTAAAGTAAAAACTGTATCATGATTTTTTTTGTTTGGTCTTTTTTAAATTTCACAATAATATACAGAGCTGGCTTTTAGATTTTAAGGACCCTGTGCTAAGAAGAAAAATAGGATCCTAAATTAATATATAAGGAAAACAAACTTAAAAGTAAATAAATTAACTAAAAACAAAGATATGGAACTTAATAAAAAGTTCAAGGGTTGATTATGTAATTTTTAAAAACTGATTTGTTAAAAGGAGGGTTGATTATGAAATATAAAACAAAAACTAATGACCAAAACTATAAATTTATTTTAAAAGGGTTGATTATGAAATATTAAGCAAAAACTAATGGTCAAAACTGTAAGAAACATCAAGAAACCAAACAAAACAAAACAATAGAGGAACTACAAAAAAATTCCATAAAAAGGATACCAAGCCTAAGAAGCACCTAGAAAAAGCAAGAGCAAACCATCAAATGCATCCCATGAACTATTAAACATTATCTAGAATATTAACAATAACCACTCTCAACATAAGCATGCAAGAAACAAAGTCAAAACTTTCTATCAGATTAAAAAAAATCACCAACAAGGGAAGAGAGCATCCCGGATACCAAAGCTCAAAATAAGCCCAATATGATTATCCACCATAAAACACTGAATTAACAGGAAGCAACATAAGAGAAAACCATTACATTCGGCCACACCTATGAACAGAGAAATGGTTCAAGTTAATTTTTGCAACCTTTGCTTATGTAGCCGCTAAGGTGAATTGACACTTGTGGTAAAACTAGAAGGTAAAAATAAAAGTTTTTAGGAGACATATTAAATCTTAATGAGTTTTAGATAAAGTGGCTATAATAACTGAGTCTTTCTTTTTTATATATATATGAGCTATATCTGTGACATCTCAATTTTACGGTCAGAAAAGACCGATTTGTTTATGCTTTGTTTTTAAAAATCAGAGTAATCTTTCAAAGAAAACGGTTGCAGAATTTATTCCCAAAGCAAAATATGATAAGAATTTATCAAAGTATTTCTTAAAGAAATGTATTTTCATTATATACCAAAATCTCGGGATGTCATGTTCCGATACAGACACATAAGCATAAACGGAACATACATTTATTTACACTAGTGATTTACATCTCCTTTAATCTCTCAGTGAAATATGTCTTCATATTGATACATGTGATACAAAGAAAATTGAGTGGGTCAGGCTTGGGAGCCTGATGAGCATATAAGGTTTTCATCCCACAATGTTATATCATATATATATATATATATATATATATATATATATATATATATATATATAACATTCAAACTTGTACAATTTCACCATATAAAGGAAACTCTTATCCCACTCCATCGATCCTTACAACGACATGATCTTGTATCTAAAATTTTCCTATTTACATGATCCCTACTCACGGATCTAAAATTATCCTCTTCACCTGATCCATACTCAGTGATCTAAAACTAACATTTTCACCTGATCCATACTCACGAATCTAAAACTAACCTTTTCCCCTGATCCATACTCACGGATCTAAAATTACCTGATCCATACTCACGGATCTAAAACTAACCTCCTGATCTAATCCATACTCTGAGATCAATAATTGTACCTAATCCATACTCCTAGAATAGGGACATTTAGCTATACCTTAATCCTGATCTAATCTATACTCTCGGATCAATAATTGTGCCCAATCCATACTCCCGAATTAGGGACAATTAACTTAGTCTTAATCCATACTCCCGGACTAATAACAAGATTTATCTCTTTACCTGATTCATACTCCCGGATCTAAAACTAACCTCTTGGTCTAATCCATACTCACGAATCTAAAACTAGCCTCTTGATCTGATCCATACTCACAGATCTAAAACTAACCTCTTGATCTGATCCATACTCACGAATCTTATCAACCTATGTCCTACCCAACATATTTGTAGTTATAAAATACATATACAGTTTAACTCATTTAAAAACTATATAAAACATCTATTCCACACTCATCTCAAATAAACAACAATATATAAACACATAGCACGTATTTCATAACAAATAGTTCATATTTATGTGTTAAAAGAAAGTGACTACACACTCACACAAAACATATACTTAATACATTCAAACAATATTTGTATTAAAATCGTGTTATGAAAGGGACTACACACTCACCTGATCAGAAGATGGCCGGGCAACACTACGGCTTGTAGAAGTAGTATTATTCGGTTAAACTATGATCTCTTCACACACCGGGCCTCTTGCGGGCAGAGTTTCGGCTCGGAAACTCTTTTCTTCTCGGGATCTTCGGAACTTCGGGACTTGCTTCGTGTCTCGGGATGATACCGGGGCTTCGGAGGGTTAAAATAGGGCTTAGAGAGAGTATCGAGAGCGGGAGAGAAGAGATTGAGCAACCAAACTCGGTTGCCCCTTGAATTCTATTTATAGGGGTGATTTTATGGATTCACGTCGTGAATCTCAAATATTCACGTCGTGAGTTCAGTCGTCACTACATGCTCATCGCAAGTTGCGTCTTCCAGGCTCCAGATGTCATAAATACTGAGTTCACATCGTGAACACTGTATTCACGTCGTGAACTCTGACAGTTTTGGGGTTACCGCCCCGAACTTCAGAAATTCATAACTTTCGCATACGAATTCCGTTTTCAACGTTCTTTATATCCATGCGTAGGTAAAAACAATATCTACAACTTTCATTTAGAATTCGTCGGCTAATTTTGACTTTAATTTTAATATATTATTAATATATTATTTTTAGTAGGCCGAGACAGGAAAACTCTGTTAGAAATTCATAACTCCTTCATCTGAACTCCGTTTTCGTCTGTCTTTTTATCGTTGGACTACTATTGATGAGATCTTCAATTCTCATTTAGAAAGTTTTGGCTAAATATCACTCGACCTCAATCTCGAGTTTCGGGCTGCATACTGCTGATGCTGAAACTTCAAAAAATCATAACTTCCTTATACGAAGTCATATTTAGACGTTCTTTTTATGCACGCTCTTGGTTTAACGTATTCTACGAATTTCATTTAGATCGCTAAGGCCAAATATTGATCTAACGTAAATTCACTATTTACATCGCACTGTGTCGTGCTGGTTCTGTCGCGAAACTTCGACAGGTCATAACTTCTTCGTGATAACTCGGATTTCGGCATTCTTTATATGTACGGAATCCTTGTAACATATACTACAACTTATTTAAGATTACCCCTTCTAAATAATCTTCCATCAAAAAGTCATTTTTGATGCTTATCGTCTCTAAATTGAATAGCACGGATCTACATACGTTACAATATCGAATTCAATGAAAACATAGTGTTTTCCTTACAAAGGAAAAAGCATGAATTTCGAAAAATAACCATAAAATTTGTACGTTCAACATTGTTTTCTTTACAAAAAGCAAATTCAGAAAAAGAAAGTATTTGTATTTTAGAAAAAAATAGTTTGAAATTTCAAATCAATTTTTTCATTCGGTTGGAAATCCATATATAATTAGAAAATTAAGAACTTGTTCAAGATTTTCAAACTTGTTTTTCATGGTTTTTACTTTTATGATTTTTCTAATTTGTTCATTAGTTTCAAACTAATTATTCATATTATAATAGAAATCTTTATATACTAATAAAAGATTTATTAGTATCACTTGTCATTTTTATATAATTTAACTGAGAGTTGTTATTTTCTCATAATCTTTTACTTTTTAAAAAGTATTGATGTTGCTAATAAGTTAGACAATTATTTATTTGATCACTGATTTTAAAAGAAATTTAAATTTATTTTGAATAAGTATCGATTATGATTGTTGATAATTAATTGTATTTCTATATTGAAAATTCTATAAAATACTGTTTAATTAATAATTATGAATTTTTATTTTAAAATTTTAAATATTTTTGTAACCATAGTTTCCACATGTTATAAGCTAATGATAAAATAAAGAAAAAAGAAACCCAATCTTCTTCGTTAAAAACTAAGATTTTGAATGAAGAAAATACGGAAGAAAATAAGAGAGAACAAGAGAAAATAAAAGTATTTTGAGAATAAAACAAATAGTTAGAAATCCAAATTTTCTAAAAATATGGTCGTTTAGGAAAAAAAAAAAAAGAGAGAAAAAAAAAAAAGTGATTATTGTTTCGATTTTCGAACATATATAAAAATATGGTCAATGGATCAATTATTTGTTGTCCTTTAAAAATATAAAACTCTAGAGTTGTTAAAGGAGGTTGAGCTGAGCAAAAGCCTTAATCAAAGAATATCAAAAGAGACAAGAATCTTAAAGTGCCTTGCCTTGAACTCGATAACACCCCAATCCTTTCACCTTTACACCTTAAAACAACCACCTTCAACAAGAAAAGAACCCAATAACCAATTTCTCCACATCTTTAAAAACACCCCATAAATCATAATACAACACAGAGCTCGCTAGGTACATTAATTCTTGTATCCAACACGTACAATGGCTGCTAATGATATGAGATCAGTTGCAACCCTCCTTATGTTCCTCAATATCTCCATGTACGTCGTGCTTCTAGGCCTTGGTGGTTGGGCCATGAACCGAGCCATCGATCATGGTTTCATCATTGGTATATATATGCATGTCATGTCTCTCTAAACCCTAAACCCTAAATCTTTCTAAATTCTGTGGCTTTCGTTGATGGGGTGTAGGGTTAATTAATTATGTGTTGTAATTAAACAGGTCAAGGGTTCGATTTGCCTGCTCATTTCTCGCCTATATACTTCCCAATGGGAAACGCAGCCACTGGTTTCTTTGTGACGTTTTCATTAATTGCTGGTGTTGTTGGTGTTGCATCCTCCATAGCCGGCTTTGACTATATTCGTTCTTGGAATTCTGATTCCCGACCTTCAGCAACTTCTGCTGCCCTTATTGCATGGGCACTTACTCTGCTTTCCATGGGGTATATTCAACACTTCACTATAACGATTTTATCCAAAACTTAACATGATCTTTGTGTTATTCCTGAATATTTTCGTTTCTTTTCTAAAAAATTGAAATAATGGTACACGAAAAAGGTTAAGAAATGTATTGTATTAACGCATGCACAATTGCACATGCATGGCAGGTTTGCATGGAAGGAAATCGAGCTTGAAGGCAGAAACGCGACACTGGTAAGTTTACATTGAAAAAAAATCATACTTATTTGGTTCATATCATAAAGTTGATGACATATTATTATGCATTTAATTGTGTTTAATTTTTTCCGTTTTTGTTGTGCGTTTTCCAGAGAACAATGGAGGCATTCTCGATTATCCTCTCGGTTACTCAATTCCTATATACAATTGTTCTTTACGGATGATGATCAAGGCAATTATATGGATCCATGAGTTTGAATCACATACATGTGTTGCAGAGTATTCATGTTTAAAGTCACATTTTCTTATTAATTTCTTTCGTGTGATTATATGTATTTATAAGATTCTAAATAGAATTCGGTTGAAGATAAATGTCGTAGTTGTCAAACATTCTTTCCTACTAGGGATTTGAATTTTTCATTTTCACATTCGATGTTTGTTTGTAAATTGATAAATCTTTGTACTTTTATATAATACAATTTAAGAAAATAATAAGAAACAATATCAAACATATATTTTACTGATGCACAAAATTGTAACAAACGTAAAACAAGGGACGCCTACCAAAATGACGCCACAAACTTGATGCATGATTCCCCGTTTCCGTATCATATTGCAAACATGCATGCCCACTCTGCCTACTACCTTCAAATTCATGCATTCTCTATAACAACAACAAAATCAGCATATACTTTTATACATAATAGATTCATAGATTTTGATCCCAAAAGAGTGGAAATAACAATAACAATAACAACAACAACCCATTTGATAATCATACATCAACCATGTCACCCGGTCCCAACAAGCGAAAATCTACCAAGAAGAAGAAAAAGAAGGCTAAACCTTCAAAAAGCTCCGCTTCCACACCAGAACATTCCCCTGATGATGGTATGAATGCACACGTTTCTCTCTCAATTCTTACCAATTGCCATGCCCACTTGTTAATTCGATGCTTTTTCGTTTCTATGTTTGTGGTTTTTAATTTCTCTCAAGTTTGGTATTTTCCCTAAAAGAGTTATACATTCGATGCTTAATGCCTATATATTTGGTGTTTCATGAAATGTTCCAACAATTAAGATGTGAATTTGGCCATGGGTATTTGAAATCTTGAAGTTCATTTACTTTGCATTTCGCTGGTTTCTATTTTGTGATTTGTGATTTGTTATTTGGATTCGTTAGGAGAGAGCGATGATGGGGAATTTAGCTCTTCAACATCAAACAGTCAACATACTTCTCCCCTTCCACCAGTCAAGCTGGAAACAAGCGAAGACAAAAAAACCGACGAGAAAGAAAGCAAAATTGAGATCGATAAAAGGTCACAAGAGAAAAGTTTGATTCCTAGAAGTAGCTCAGCTAACAAATCTCGCGATAAAAAGAAAGCGGTGGCAATCGAACCTGCTAACTCTTCGCCTGAAACAGTAAATCACAAAACAAAGCGTCAACAGAAAAACACCAAATCGCCATTGAAACAAACAGGTGTGGATGAGAATTCTTCAAATCTTATTCATCCAAAAGAAACGGGACTTGCGGAATTGGTTGAGAAATTAGTTTCAGTAGACGAGAAAGCTTCTCCAAAATCGAAGGACTGTTTAACAGCTTCAACGTTAAACTGCCCGTTTTGTGGAAGGGGTGGCGCTGATCGTTTGAAAGAACACGATACGCCTGAATGCCCTGAAAAATATGTATGCCCTTCCTCTTAACACTTGTATCTTAATTTGTGTTCTTATGTTTCTACAATCATATATGCAGCCATTGTTATCTCCAAATCCTTTTTCTCAAGCACCTGAAAAAACTTCTTGGAAGAGTTGCTGTGGATTATTTGAGTTGTGCTCAGGCTCCAGTAGGTAAATATCAGAAGGTCGGTTATCTAATTATCTTCCTTGCAATCTCAAAAAGAGTCTCTTTCTTTATGCTAATTTTTTTTTATCATTTATGTTCAGTTTTTATATTAATTCATGGTTGACACATATGTATTGTCACTTATGTTTCTTTCTTGTTTTCTTTATAACAGAAGTCGATCATATCATACGAGACAAGGAATTGAGGGTAGAACCTCAGAGTCGTCATAGCCAAAGCCCTTTAACTTCATTTATTATTTTTTTTTTTTTGGAGGAGATAGTGTTGTGATATCTAACTATATTCTTAATATATGTAGAAATACAAGTAGTTCAGAGTTTAAACATTTTGAATTTTGGTATTTTTTAAACTTAAACCTGTAAAAAATGGATGCGTCCTTTATAAACAACCAAACATGTGCGATGTGCTAATAGAAGTATCGAGGATTAGATCATAAATCTGGGTGTAGTGACAGAGAGCAGGATGTTGAAGGGTCGAGAAAACCAACATACAAACTCCGGTCAAGGAATTCGACCATTCTTGTCGTGCGACGCGAAAACATGTCGTTTTGATCCTTTTTTAGGTTTCGTTTAAAATGGATTTTGATGTTTTTTCTAGGATTTTTCATACATTTTTAAGTTATTGTTTGCATTTTTTAAGATACATTTTTAAGTTATTGTTTGCATTTTTCATACTCAAATGGCAATTTTTGAAGTGTAATTGAATCAATTGCGGAGTGGGATCCGGTAATGAAATAACATTTTCGAATGATTCAAGACAAAGAAACACATAATTATTATCTTAGTCATAAAATTCAAAATGAATTAATTGAAATGTTAGCATCCGAGGTAAAATGTGCAATTATAAAAAAAATCAAAAGGGCAAAATATTTTTCTATAATTCTTGATTGTACTCCGGATGCTAGTCACCAAGAACAAATGATTTTGATTATAAAATGTGTAGATTTGGAAAGTGTTCCATTAAAAGTTGAAGAGTTTTTAATTGTAGAAGATACATCCGGTCTAGGTCTTTTTAATGTTTTACAAGATGCCATAAAATCTCTTGATTTGGATATTAATTATGTTCGTGGTCAAGGGTATGATAATGGGGCAAATATGAAAGGTAAACACCAAGGTGTTCAAAAACGATTGCTTAATATAAATAATAGAGTTTTTTATATGCCTTGTGGATATCATAGTTTAAATTTGGTTTTGTGTGATATGGCAAATTCTTGCCAAAAGGCAAAAACTTTTTTTGGTACATGTCAAACGATTTATAATGTTTTTTCCAATTCAACCAAAAGATGGAGTGTTTTACTTGAGTTTGTTGATGATCTAACATTTAAATCATTATCAGCTACTCGTTGGGAAAAACATATTAAATGTGTTAAAACAATAAAAACACAATTTTATCAAATAAGAAAAGCTTAAAAAAAACCATCTATAATAAGTGATAATTGACACGTGTGTAGAGATGCTGATTCACTAGTAAATGGTGAATTTTCTAGTTTTGAATTTATTTTAAGTTTAGTTATATGGTATGATATTTTGTACAAAATTAATTTGGTAAGCAAAAAGTTACAATCCAAAGAAATGCTTCTTGATTTCGCTGTAAAAAATTTAGAATGGTTAATTAATTATTTTGAAGAATATAGGGAAAGTGGGTTTGACTTTGCTATTAGTAAAGCAAAAGAAATAGCAAATAGTGTTAAAGTTAAACCCGAATTTTCTTAAAAACGCAATAAAAAAAGAAAACAACATTTTGATGAAATTCCAAATACCGAAAGAGAACACCAATCTTCTCAAGAAGCATTTAAAAGGGATTATTTTTTTATTCTTGTTGATATGGCTTTTGTTCAATTGAAAAGTAGATTTGAACAAATGCAATATTTTGAATCGATATTTGGTTTTTTGTTTGATGGTTCCAAATTAGTTTCTTTAGTTGATGATGAATTAAAGAAATGTTGTTTAAATCTTGAGTCCAATTTGAAAAAATGGTGAAGATTATGATATTGATGGAGATGGTTTATTCATTGAGTTAAAACTTTTACAGAAAATGTTGCCGGATGAAGCATACAAAAGTCGAAGTCCTTGGACATCTATTCAAATAATAGAGTATGCAAGAAGAATGGATATGTTCCCTAATGTGTTGGTTGCATATAGGATATTATTGACGGTGCCGGTTACGGTTGCTTCCGCGGAAAGAAGTTTTTCAAAATTGAAGATTTTGAAATCGTATCTCCGAAGTACCATGACTCAAGAAAGATTGAATGAATTAGCAATTTTAAGTATTGAAAGTGATTTTTTAAAAAATATTGATTATTGTAAAATAAGAGATGTTTTCGCTTCAAAAAATGCGTGAAGACATCGTTTTAGGTGATTTTTTTGTATATTTTGGTTGTGTTATTTGTTTGATTATAAAAATTACTGCATTTTTTATATTAGAAATTACTACATTTGTTTGATTATATGTTTTTGTTATTGTACGGTACACATATAAAGGCATAATTTTTTTATCTCGCCCGGGTAGTAAAAAACAATGGACCGGTCCTGATTATACTATTAGATGTGGTTTCACGTTCACTTTCACCGCACCTTTCATTTTTTTCCTTAACGGTATGTATATTCTCATTATATTCTCTGCACTCTCCCCCACAAGTTTTTTACATGACCATAGTAATTTGAAAAAATATTTATTTAAATGGGGCAGTCTGAAAATTAATTACAAAGTAACCGTAGTTTTGTTTAAAATTAAAATAAAAACCCTATTATTTTTCTAAGAAACCGTATGATGCTAACACTATCTTTACTTGGTCTTCTCACTACAAGATTAAAGACCTATGGGGACGACAAAAGTCGTCACCATAGCATTCAAGGTCGTCGCTATAGACCCTGGAAACAACATGTCATCGCCATAGATCTGTCACTATAGATGCTATTGTCGTTGCCATAGCCCACCCTATAGCGACGACATGTTGTCGCCACAAGTAAACTTATTGCGACGACTTCTTGTCGTCATACATATCCCAATAGAAACGATAAGTCGTCCCTATAGGTTCTGCACAGATTTTACAAATTTTTGTCGCTATGGATGTTTATTCTTGTAGTGTCTCTATGCCGCACCCTACATCTGATAGGCATGCAACCCCATTTTTAATCACCAGAAAATTCCTGTAACTGCTTAGACTATGAGGTATATTCACAATGCATTTACGAGTGAAAACCGTTCAACATCATCATATCTTCTTTCACAACAAGTCCACTATACATTTTGGGATAGTGTTCACTAGTGAAGAACCAATGGAGAGAGAGAGAGAGAGAGAGAGAGAGATAATTGGTGAACCTTTGTGATAACCACCACTCCAAAAGATAACCACTAGGCCTTCAGATGGTGTTCATTATTGAATATCTTCTCCATATAGGATCCACATAGGATTTCTACGTGTGAAAATACTTCCATACATCATGGCCTTAACACCATTATCGTAGGTAATCTTTCGCATCGTTGGTTTTTTTTATTAGTTTGTTTAACATCCGCATCAATTTTTGCTGCTGCATATTCTTTTAGCTTTGTTATTAATTTTATTCATAAAAATTATAAAGTTTAATATAAAATGAACTGTGGACAATAAAAAATTTAAAAAAAAAAAACAAAAAACAATTTTTTGGTAT